TCCTCTGGCCTCCCCAACCCCCCAGGCATCTACTTTAAACTTTCAAATTAAGGTAGTGTTTACTTTGACATTTGAAAATGAAGTACTTATTCTGCCATAAGCAGCCTGTTCTCCTTTCATGCTGGTTGAGGGCTAGGGTTCTTACACCAACACCCGGGCCCATCCCTGTTAGCCTTCCTCCATTTTTCCAATGTGATGACATATTTGGTTAAGTCAGTGCTCAGTGTTTGCATTGTTATTAATGTACGTATATTATTACCTCTCTAGCCAGGCAGCATACATGGTTATGTTTCATTTCTTTTATAATTCTTTATTTTTCCTGGAATTATTATTTGCCTTGTGTTTTCATTTGCTTTGTTTGTAATGCACTGTGAGTTTTTTCCAAATGCTTTAAACACTTATTAATAAATTTTCAACACTCAGGTGCTTCACAGTTTTCAAATCTTTCCCTCCTCCCCCTTTTTCCTAGAAACCTCTCTTCTGTTACCTTTTATTCCTTTGCTCCAGTCTTCTAGTCTATGTTGGTACCTATCTGGGCCTGGTGCGTAAAGGTGTTCTTTATCATATATATGCATTAGTCACTATCCCAGTTTTTAGCCCAGGGCCTCATCCCCACGTCCCACAGCATCTGTTGCCCATAAATATCAAGTCTTTTAGGGGTTCCATGGGGTAAATGAGCTCATCCTCCTCACAGCACACCCAGTCCCTCACCTCAGCCACCCTGCTGTGGAGGTGCCCCTTCTCTCTTGGCTTTCTGTCTTCTGAATAATTATTGACTTCTTGTTTGCTCAGGTCTCCTTTCCCTTTCTTTGTCCTTTTGGACTAGAGCCTTCTTTTCCTTCACTCTTCATTTGATAGCATTTGAGTAGGAGGACAAAGCATGAAGGAAGAGGAGGATCTTGAACCAAAAGTCTGTGATCTGTCTGGGCTGCCCAGTTTTGAGATCTGAGTGTTGAGGGTGCTCTTCAAGCCCTGGCCTTGATGATTTCAGGGGAGGGGTAGCAGGGCATGGGGGTCTGCCATCCTGTCCTAGACCATGCACCTGCCTGTGGCTTCTTGATGTATATGATTTCATCCAGCTGTTTATACCTGCTTTTCCCCAAGCCCCAGCACTGAAGATAGACTCAAATGTTATTTTGTTTGATCTGTTAATTGATTGCATTGCAACATATACTTTTTAATTATACAAGTATATTGCTTTACTTACATTAAAGATTCATGCTGTGATCTGGAAATATATCCATTAGGTAAAACAGTTTTTCAGTGGAAGACATGTTTTGAGTTCCAGTGGGCCAATTTATAAGTGGAATTTATAATTTGGACATTTCCTGTATTCTTCAAGTGAAATTTCTTTAAGTGAAATTTCACTTAAATTTTAAATGACAAGATCTTTATATAAGTCCTTTGTGGCTTTTTACTTTGAAATGTTTATAACTTGATTCATTAGTGTCTAATGGAATTTAAGAACAAATTTAATACAGTTTTTAGGGATAAGTTAAAAGTAATTAGGTCCATCATGATATTGTCTGTAATTAAATCATACAACATTCTAAAAACTAATAAAGTTCCCTAGACACCTTGTCTCAGATAATCCACATCTCTTAATGTCTCCTCATTAGAAAAAGAGTTCATTGATAATTCAGGTGAATGATGCCTTGCTGCCTTTCTTTAAGTCAGTCGTTTAGGAATTATATTCAGAGCCTTGTAAGATGGAGCACCAAGAGCTTAAAATCAGATTTAATCATATTTCACAAACTCTTGAAAGGTTACTGCCACAATCTCCTTTAGGAGTCTGGTTGCATGTTATCCTGGGTTGGCATATGAAAAGCTTATTTATTTAAACCTCTAACAATGACTTTTTTAAAAAAAAAAATAGGATCTTACTCTGTGGCTCAGGCTAGAGTACAGGAACATAATCATAGCTCACTGCAGCCTCAGACTCCTAGGCTTCAAGCTGTCCTCTTGCCTCAGCTTTTCAAGTAGCTGAGACTACAGGTGTGTGCCACCACACCTGGCTAATTTTTTTTTTGTATGGATGGGGGTCTCACTATGTTGCATGGGCTGGTCTCGACTCCTGGCCTCAAGTGATCCTCCCACCTCCACCTCCCAAAGTGCTGAGATTATAGGTGTGAGCCACTGTGTTTGGCCAACAATAATTTATTAAATAACTATTTGTAAAGGATGAGGGAGTGGTAGAAAGAGAAATAAGACATTTCTGTTTTGTGCTTACAGAGCTTATTAAAGTGTCTAATACAGTGATTTTGAGGCCTTCTTTTTTTTAAACAGATGAAATTGCCTATGAAATTTTGGATTAAATACTGATATATAAAATAGAGTTTTGTTTCTTAATTTAAGTCTTCATTGTTTGACAGAAAATGCTTTATTATGTATTTATAAGATCCTCGAACCACCTCCAAAGAACAGTTTGTAAATCTTATGGTTGAATTTTTCTTGTTACATATAATATGAACTAATGCTAATGATTTGAATTATAGCTGATTTTGTTCATGTTTTTCATTTTTCATCATAGTCTGAAATAGTTCAATGATATGATCTAAAATGTAATACGATTTTAAAATTACATTTGCAGAACTTTTTCTGCCTAAAGCATACATATTACAGTTCAGATGTACATATATATGCACATTGTTAAATTTTCATTAAAAATAAGATTTATTATATTAGATGGGATGAAAATCAAAAACTTGTACTCCAGGTCATTAGCGCAAGACTGTGACCGCTCTTTGTGGGACAGGGACTGTTCTCTGCAGTCTCTGGGTATCAGGAGTTAGCACAATCCCTGGTGCTTGCTTTCTGTCTTTTCTATTTTCTTTTCTTTTCCTGAGGGCAGATCTTTATAATAGGAGTTTAACCCCATGTTAGGTGAGTGCAAATGGATCTTAGCTGGAAATCTCTTGTTCACTCTTGGTTCTAGTTGTGTTAATTCATTCCATCCCATTTTCTTGTGGTTGAAACAGACACTAACTTGCTCTCCTCACCTCAGAGCATTATCTTTGACTGACACTCCAGGCGTTGCGGGTAGAAGAAGCCTGAGAACAAAACCTAGGGATAAAGTTCTACCCTCACCTAAGAGGCTAGAAATGAGATAAGCTGGAATTATGGGGAGGAGAGTACTGTGACTTCTAGGTGACACCAGAGTCTAGGGGAACCAAAAAGGAAAATGAGCAAGAAAAGGGGGAAGCTTATTATTTGATTGACTCCAAGATACCATTGTTTATAAGTTTGTACCTTTTTTTTTTTCTCCTCCTGACCTGCCTTCCTGCTGGGAGACTCTGCCCCACTCCACCCAACCCCCCTTGTACCTCCCATGATTTCCTGACTACCATAAGCTTATTTTTTAACCTTTTCTTCCTTGAAAAGCACCACCCCACTGACCCAGAATGTGGACTCCTCCTCTTTCTTCACTCTGACCATCCTGTTCTCCTGGGCTAACCACCCTCATCTCCCTTTAAAAACTCTAGAAAATCAGCAGCAATAGGGGGCCTTCCGATTCCCTTAAAGCCCCTTTTCTACCTTGAACTCTCCAAAATAACCAGCAAGGCTGAGAAAAGAGTGGAAATGCCTTGCTTCTGAGCAAGTGGTGGCTGGGCCAGGTGGGTCTGGCACTATCTTATTAAATTCCGCTGCCCCTAGGTCGTGAGGGCCACTTCTGGTAACTTAGGCTTTGGGTTAGGGATGGCTCATGGCGTAAAGGGGTAATTACTATCTTGGCCCCCGCCCAACACACACACCCAGGTTCTAGGAATCCCAGTCTTAACCTGGGGATAAACTCCAAACTCATATAAACAATAAAAGCCTCCTCCCAGGTGCTGAGAGCCCACCCAGCTTTATCACTCTTTCTCCTTGCCCCCTTGCCAGTAGCCCCACAGGGTGGGGGTTGGAAGAGCAGGCAGGTGCTCACTCCACTCGCTGCACCCAAACCCAGCCAGAGTACTGTTTTTCAAATGTGCCATTAAGAAAGAAATGCTCCTATTTAACTGTGCCATCAACGATAAGGTGCATCCCAACCTCAGAAATGTTAAAATAGCGGGGAAAAAATTGAAATTTATTGGCATTTGGAACTTACAGAGTTTCATAGTTATAGAGAGTAGTATGGAGGCCTTTCTGAGAGTTTTGCCTCCATTTGGGGGTGGAATGATAGTAAAAATGTAAATTTATGATTCTGTTCTGCATCATTTCACTCCATCAGGCTCTGGATAACAGAAGCTAGTGTAATATTAAGAGGATGTTTTTAAATTTATATAAGGGCTCTGATCATGCTTGGCCCTTCTTTTGCTGGATAAGAAAATCAAATTTCTACCCTATGTAGATCTCAAAGTAGGCTTTGGAGGTTTCTGACAAGTCATTTCTTGTTATCTAAGAGAATTTACTTGTATTCAACTAGAGTTTGAGTATCTACTACATCCAAGGAAGTATGCCAAGTGTGGGTTTTGGTTTTGGTGGTTTTTAGTTTTATTAGCTTGCAAAAGAATAGTTTAGAAGGTTTGGAACATACATAAAACATAAAAATGTTTTATGTGTATTATTTTATTGTTAATGCATATCTTAAAATTTTGTAACTAGTGAGATTTGGTAGTTTGGGATCAACAAGAGATCGTTTTCTTAACTACCCTCGGAAGATGCCTTGAAAGGTATTATATGAGACCAGTAGAACTAAATATTAGTAATTAAAGAGTCAGGCAGGAACCAAAACCTGCATATTCAGCTGTGAGAATACATCTCAAGTTTTACTGTGGATCATTCATTCAAAGATGTACACTTCACATTTTAACATATCTGAAATGGGAATACATCTAGAAATTGATGGCATGGTACAGTTTAATTGGCAGTATATTTTCATGGTGGTATATTTTACAATCAGTGACATCTTAAATTCCCTGAAATAGGTATGATTTTTTTAAATGGGAGAATTTAGTGTTATAGACAGTTTGTAAGACCTTTCATTTATAGATGCTTAAATTTTGAGGACTTGATTATTCTGTAACAAAATGATTGACAAGGAGTAATTTATAAATTATCCCTTGTCAGTATGAATAATCTGCATTTTGGACATTGATTCAAGTTCATTTCAGCTCAATAAATTTTGATAAAGTAAGTTAGTTTTGACAGCTGTTTAAATATTGGGAAAAGGAATATTCAACATTTTTCTTAAATCCTGAGAGCTTTGTTCAATTTAGCTATTTGAGACTATTTTCTGGTTCAGCATGTTGCTCTAATGATTAAATGTATTTTTGATATTACGGATGTCTTCAAGTTTATAGGTAAATTGACCAGCATGTTGTATTTGTTTCTCTACTTAAGTACAAATTAAACATTTCCTAAGTAGCACTTTTAATTTGATAGACCGCTCTACTTCCTGAGATAATTGAGAAATAGGCCAAAATAATATTTATTTGAATATCTTAAGTTTGTTGTTTTATTTCACATATTACCTACTCCACCTAACAAAAGCAATTAATTTGAGCGCTTGATGCCAAAGAAAATTCTAAAAGGTCTGGATTTTTTTCCTTGGATTCTACAAAGTAGCTACCATGAGATCTTTAAGCCAAAGCAGCATTGCTGCTTACAGAGCGATTTTTGTTTAATGGTCTGTGTTAGAGCCTTATTGCACGATGGCTTCCAACTGGCAGGGATACCATTCTGAAAAGGGTTTGGTGTTACATGCTTCTTAGAGCAAGTTCTCCATTTCTAATTAAGGCACACATCTGGAGTTACCCAAGAAAAATTTAGTGCAGTTAGCCTTGAAAGTGTTATGGTGACTTTTTTGCTTCAGACCATCTTTTAAATAACCAGACACATGGTGTTGAATTTGACTTCTCTTGCCTTCCTCCCCACAGAGTGTCTCCCTTATTCATGTTGCACTTTGTAGAAGGCTTACCGCAGAATGACCTGCAGCGCTATGCATTTCATTTTGAAGGCTGCCTTTATCAAATAACTTCTGTGATTCAGTACCAAGCAAATAATCATTTTATAACATGGAGTTTAGATGCCGATGGTAAGTGTTTAAAGGTTTTCTTCTATGATAAAAGGCATGGAAACTAAACTCTAGTGTTTTGTTTTTTTTTAATGGCAAACTTTGCCTTGGCTCTTTTTCTGTTTTTGCCTTTGCCTTTAGTTTTCCTCCCCTTACCCCTCCTATTAAAACTTTGGTGGTTCTAGTATGCTTCCTTTTTCCTTTTCTTATATGATGTATTATGGGTATATATGTACGCATGTGCAAATTTCTTTTTTAGAGACAGGATGAGATTATATACTACTGTTTATTTACAGTTTGCTTTTTCCCACTTAGCATTTTTGCTTTTATTTTTTAAACATCTATTTCTAAGACTATTAAACATTAGACTATGTAGCCCTCTTGTCATTGTGAAATACAGTATCTGAAATCCATAGTTCGCTAATAGCTGCAGTCAAGGTAAAGCCTTTATTTAAATAATTAAACTCCCAATAGAAGGCTAAATAAGTATAGTTTGTGAATTTTGGGGATTTTTGCCTTCCATTTGTCTAATGTGGTTAGTATTGAGTTTGTTTCTCTCACAGTGTTCATTTTGTCTTAGATAAGGTAACTCAGTCCCCTGATGTTATATCAGGCCATCAGTAAGGGCTCACTTGATATAAGCATTTTCTGTTGTTAGGACACTTTACATATTTGATATTTTCCTCCTCGGGATGGTTTGGATGCATGACACAAACCGTATTATAAAAGTGCTTTGTAAACTAAAACTTGATTAGGAATGTAATTATTACCTTAAAGTTTTACCTTGTTTCAGAATTTGAGTGGAAATATGTCTCAATAACCTGAGCTAACTTATTTTAACTTCTATTGCAGTCCAAGGAATGAAAGATCCATTTCAAGTGCAGCATGGTTTCCAACCCTGACAGCATATAAGAATCATTTGGTTAGCTTATTAAAAACATCTTGGGGATTGGCCCAAATACCAATATTATTTTAAAAGCTCTTCACATGATTATAATGTGATTCTCATGTGCTCACATGGTAGGGAAACCACATAGGCAAACAAAATATTCTCAAAGTTTTAATAAGTGTAGAATGAAAGTAGATCGAGGTAGTTGAAAAGGGTGTATCCACATAAACCACATACTTAGTGAGTGGTTTTGTTTTGTTTGTATGTATGTGGGGAGGATTAGCAGATTTCTGAGTATATTGTTTTCTTTTTTATAACTTAACTATCAGAGAATTCATACTTCCGTTGTGCGACCTTGTGCTCTTAATTTGTTTATATCAGCTATTTTAATAAGTATTTTAATCTCATTTTTAATTTTTCCCATTGGGGAATTTTTAAAAAATCTGTTTGATCTTAGACCTTTGCTGCTTGTTCTCAGTTACTGATGAAACCTTAAAGTTGTCCAGTCTATTTAGCAAGTAAATTGGCCCGAAGCAGCAGCTGAGGAAAAGCTTTTCTCCTTTTTTGACCTTCCCTATTCCTCAAGATTAGTTCCTTATAGGAAACCTTTGAAGCCTGTGGCACAGTCCTCTTTTTCCTCACAATATTAAGATAATGTCTTTCTCGGCACTAAAAAATGAATGTGATAGACACGTCACATCTATGTGAACTAAGGATTTTTTGTGTGTGCTTTTAGAAATCTTTTTTCAAAAAGGATAGATGCGCATGTATAAGGAAAAGGGAAATTTAGTGCACTTTTAATATTTAAGATTGTTTCTAAACATAATTTTACAACATTAAAGAACACTATGTTGGTTGTCACTTCTCTACTTGCTAAAGCAGTGTTTTCTACAATAACACATTCCCTAGAAAAAATAATAGTGGTTTGGATGCTCAGTATTTTAATTGAAAGCATAGAAAATGTTTTATAGTGAGTATTACGGTGTTTGACATCATGATTTATTAATTTATCACATTTGCTTTCATAGAAATAGAGTAAGCTACCCATTTACTATGCCTCAATTCTGTGACAATATAGTCTTTAAAAATCTATTTCTGTTTCATAGGTATACAGATATAGTAGAAGTGTGGATTTTTTTGAAAAATCAATAATAAAAGCAGTTACTCATCAAGGCCTATAGTTAGATTTTCCCAAATTATCACATGGTAATGAGTAAAATACCAACAAATATGTCTTCCCTTAACCCCACACCACCTATCAGCACCTAGCCACCTTCCTTTACTTCCCAGCCATTCTTCGTATTTTTTATTGTAGTAAAATATATATAAAATTTACCATTTTAACATTTTTCAGTGTGTAATTCATTCGCCTTGAATACATTCACAATGTTGTGCAAAACCACCACCATGCATTTCCACAACTTTTCATCATCCCAACAGAAACTCATCAAACAGTAACTTTCCACTCTCCCCTACAAACCCTGGTAACCACTATTCTACTTTCTGTCTCTATGAATCTGCCTATTCTAGATACCTCATATAAGTGATCATATACTGTTTGTCCTTTTGTGTCTGGCGTATTTAACTTAGCATATTTTCTTTTTTTTTTTTTTTTTGAGACAGAGTCTCACTGTGTTGCCCGGGGTAGAGTGCCGTGGCGTCATCCTAGCTCACAGCAACCTCAAACTCCTGGGCTCAAGCGATCCTCCTGCCTCAGCCTCCCGAGTAGCTGGGACTACAGGCGTGCACCACCATGCCCGGCTAATTTTTTCTATATATTTTTAGTTGTCCAATTAATTTCTTTCTAATTTTAGTAGAGACAGGGTCTCGCTCTTGCTCAGGCTGGTTTCGAACTCCTGAGCTCAAACAATCCGCCCGCCTTGGCCTCCCAGAGAGCTAGGATTACAGGCGTGAGCCACCACGCCCAGCCTACTTAGCATATTTTCAAGGTTTATCCATGGCATACCCTGTAGTAGAATTTCATTCCTTTTTAAGGCTGGGTAATATTTCATTGTATGTATTATCCATTCATCTGTTAATGGACATTTGGGTTGTTTCCATCTTTTAGCTATTGTGAATAATGCTGCTATGAACACTGGTGGACAAACACATGTTTGAGTGTCTGTTTTCAGTTCTTTTTGGTATACACCTACAAGTGGAATTGCTGGGTCTTACAGAATTCTGCGTTTAACTTTTGGAGGAACTGCCAGACTGTTTCCACAGCAGCTGCACCATTTTACATTCCCACCAGCAGTACACAAGGATTCCAGTTTCTCCACATCCCCGCCAACGTGTTTTTTTCTGGTACTTTTGATAATAGCCACCCTAATGGCTGTCTTTTTTTAAAAAGGCATGATTTAAAGAAGGCATGACTACCTTCTTACTCTTAATTCACACCTTAGTCCACTACATAATAACTCCTATTCCTGCTACACCACTGAAATTACGTGGGCAAAAATAACTGCCAGTGACCACGCTGCTGTAAATAATGGACTCTTCACAGTTCTTGTCTTAATACTTAAGTATTTGATACTGTAGACTCCTCTTAGTCCTTAAATTTTTCCTTTGACAGCCATTACCTCATTCCCACTTGAAAAATGCAAAAACAGAAGCTGAGAGATAGGACAAAAATTAAAACAAATGTTGGTCCTTGAGGTGTCAAGCTTCATTTATCTTGATATATGGAACAACTTACTCTGTTTTCTGATGTTGGATCAATTAGGTGTACTGTATTCTAAGTCCCAAAAGTTAAATATACTGTCTTGATTTCTGTGGGTATTATAGGAAAGAGTGTAAACTATCCAGAAACTGCCTCGGTTTTTCAAATTTCTGAATATGTTCTAGTCCATAACTGTTGTTATACAAATAAGGACATCCACATTTGGGAGAGAAGGATGGTGACAGGACAAGGCCATGTATTAAAGTGTTCTCCGTTGGTGGGGATTCAGTGATATAGCAGTTAAGGAGGCCAGAAGAAAGTTAACCTAGGATGGTGGTTTTTGAATGTCTAACCTCCTTTACTTTCTTACCCATCCCCAGGAAGCTGGCTGGAAAGTGATGACTTAAAAGGCCCATGTTCTGAAAGGCATGAGAACTTTGAAGTTCCTGCTTCAGAGATACATATTGTTATTTGGGAAAGAAAAACATCTCAAGTGACAGATAAAGAAGCTGCTTGCCTCCCGCTTAAAAAGACTAATGATCACCATGCTTTTGGTAATGAGAAACCAGTATCTCCAGCTTTGTGTTCTGCGGGTGATGCTGCCTCAGCTGAAACAGCCCCAGTAACTCACTCTACAAATACGTCAGTTGCTCCCCAAGCTCTTCCACAGGACGAAGCTGTAGCTCATGGAGAGCATTTACTTTCAGGTCCAAAAGGTTTGGTTGACAATACTATTTTACCCTTGACACTTGAAGGAACTGTCCAGCAAACTGCCTCAGTTTTTCAGTTTAACTCTGAAGTTTTCCTGTTAGCAAATAAACCTGTGGCAGAAAATACAGGAATTGTCAAAACAAATACTTCTCAGTCACAAGAATCACTAATGCCTTCTTCAGCATCAGCTCCATGTAAAGAAAATCTTTTCCAAGACCAATTAGTGGATCTAAACTTTCCATCTCAAGTGGTAAATACAAACATGCAGTCAGTAGAGCTGAATGTAGAAGATACTGTAGGTGCTAAACCTGTGAATAATACTCACGCCGCTGGTCTTATACAGGGAATGAAGTCAGTAGAAATTGAGAAGGACGCTCAGTTAAAACAGTTCCTTACACCAAAAACTGAGAACTTAAAACTAGAACAAGTTATATCTCAGGTATCTAATTTGAAGGAAAAAGAAACTGCAGCGCATTCTCTAACCATGACAGCTCAGTCCTTGCAGAATCAGTCTGTGAAAGAAAATCAGAAGAAACCGTTTGTGGGAAGTTGGGTGAAAGGCTTACTAAGCAGGGGTGCTTCTTTCATGCCACCTTGTGTTTCAGCTCATAATAGAAACACTATAACTGATTTGCAGCCTTCAGTTAAAGGGGCGAATAATTTTGGTGGCTTTAAAACTAAAGGAATAAAGCAGAAGGCTAGCCGGGGGTCCAGGAAAGCTCACAGGGGTGCAAGTAAGCCTCCTCCAGTGAGTGAGCCTCCACCAAGTCCTCCGTCGTCGGGCAGCACCGCCGCTCACCCACACATGAGTGCCAGCGCTGCTTCTGAAGGTGTGAAGAGAGGTGACAGTGCCTCACACGGAGCTCACCTCAACCACAGGTCCCATGGAAATGAAAATGATGTTTCTTCAGCAAACCACGGAGACTCAGTTGAAGGTCAGATTCATAAACTTCGCCTAAAACTTCTTAAAAAACTAAAGGCAAAAAAGAGGAAATTAGCTGCTCTTACATCTTCCCCCCAAAGTGGAAAACCTCCAAGTGAAAGTTTAGAACATGCGCCCCAGGGAGGGTCTCCAAATGACTGTGAGTCGATAGAAGACTTGTTAAATGAACTACAGTATCAGATTGACATTGCAGATAAGAAGTCTGGATGCACCACTGTTTCTGGTGTTTCCCCGTACAATAGTCAAACTCATGAAGAAATTTTAGCAGAATTATTGTCTCCTACATCTGTTGTTTCTACAGAGCTCTCAGAAAATGGGGAAGCTGACTTTAGATATTTGGAAATGGGAGATAACCATATACCAGCTCCAGTACCTGGTAAATTAAATGATATTTCCCAGAACACATATCTGGGACAGGACCATAATTATTGCAGCCCCACCAAGAAAAATGCATGTGAAGTTCAGCCAGACTCCCTAACAAATAATGCCTGCGTTAGAACATTAAACTTGGAGAGTCCCGTGAAGACTGATATTTTTGATGAGTTTTTTTCCACCTCAGCATTAAATTCTTTAGCAAATGACACATTAGACTTACCTCATTTTGATGAATATCTGTTTGAGAATTGTTGAATACTTATTAACTCTTTAATATTTATTATTACTCTTAGAAAAATTATGTTTTCAGGTAATATTTATACACTGGTCTTGTGTTAATAGCCATGAACAAAATGTAAGCGACTGAAGATTTTACCTTTGGTTGTGCCCGTGAAGCATGTAATTTGTTTCACAAATTAAAATAATCAGTAATGTGTTCTTCTTGGGTTTCATTTTGTACTTGTAAGAGAATGAGGATTTCAAAATGTTTTTAAAAGATGAAAAGTGTTGTCTCATTTCTGGCAGTTGTACAGTTGGGTGCATTAAATTGCTAGATTTGAAATTTTGGTTATATTCAACAGTTTATATAAACTTAAGTTGTTGTATACGGTATATGAATGCCTGACGGTTTTCCTTATGGTTGTGTGGTCTTATGTGAGGTCCCAAACCTGTTTCTTACACAAATAGAGTGCTGTAGAAATATCAACTCCCCCCCATACCACTTGTCTTCTTTGTCTCTCCTTACAAAGGATGGCAGGAAACCTTATTACTAGAACTTTGAGTAATGTTAAGTGATCAATAAATGATCTTTAATAGGAAAAAGTAATCTGTTTTCACAATGATGTGCAAAAAGTTTACATGTTATCGCTATCATGAATACCATATTTCTCCACAAGACATTTCTATAACCAAAGTGACATCATTTAACAGTCCTGTTTTGGGAGAGTATAATAACCAGTGCTTAGATGGCTTGCTGTATGTTGGGTTCTGTTAGATACATGAGACAGGTGTTAATTCATTTAAACCTCAACATCCCTGTGGGTGAGACACTTTTTACCACATTTTACAGATAAGAAAACAGTGCACAGCTAGTAAGTTGTAGAGCTGAGATTGAGTAGAGTGTTTATTATAGCAGTTAGAAGTGCTGAGTTTATCAATATATGTTCTACCTCTCAGGCTTTATTTAAAGTTTGAATACCCAAACAGCACTACTGCTATAGTGATTTGAATTAACAGTAGTTACTGAGGTTTAAGGGTGGCAGTCAGTGGTCTTGGGGTAAAATACTTTACCAAGGACTCAGTACTTTATAATTTATTTGCCAAATTTTCTCCTAAACCTTTTTTTTCTGTTCACAAAAGTAATACAATTTATTGTAAAGAAAAGCTGAGAAAAGGTAGGAAAACACCAAGAAGATTTTTGATCATCCATTTTAATCTTAGTGGTAACTACTGCAAACATTTTCATATTTATGCATATGGACTTTAAATAAAAGTGGTATCCTCTTGCATATTTCTATGATCTGTTTTTACTTAATGTTTAATGAGAATTTTTCCAGCTCAGTTTTTGACAACTCTTTGAATGGTTATCATACTACATTGTATGGATAACCATTGTTTCACTGGTCTTTTTGGATAACCATTGTTTCACTAGTCTTTTTAGATTCTGAGATGATTTATATTATTTAGCTATTGTTAATTGCACAGCAGCCATTATCCTGTTTATAAATTTTTGCACAGATCCAAATTTTATTTTCTGAGAGTGGAATTGGTCAAAGGATGTGAACGTTTGAAGTTTGATTGTATGACTGGCTTCCCTGGACCCTCAACACTAGATATTAATAGTAACATTGGTGGGCGGGGACCATCCTCTGCTGTATTTGTTTATATTTCCATGATTACCAGTGATACTGAACATTAACTATTACCCAGTTGAGTTTCTTTGAAGAATTGCTTGTCCGTCTTTGCTTGTTACTAACCCATTCATCAAGTACTTGTAGATTACTGCTAAGGGCTAAGCCTGAGAATGGAGGAAATTCTTGCCCTTTAGAGTTTACCTTCTATACAAGGAGATAAATATTTAGTGGTAGATGGTAATAAGAGATACATACAGTTAATTCTTGTAATTTTCAATAGTTAGGGACTATAAAGTTGCCATGAACACTGAATTAGCAAATACTGAAATAATGCTCCTAGGGGAAATACAAGATTAGGTTCCTACTAGCCTGTGGTCACAACAGTTTTGTCAACCAATCAATATATGACTTTGTATTTTGTTTCTATTTAAATATGCCTTAATCTGTTGATTCATTACATTAACATGACCAGCAGGCCTGTAACTCGGGCCTAAACAAAGCTTATCTGACACAGTTTTCTCCATAAGGCGCATCCCAGCCTCCTGTGCTTTGGAACGCTAACCAGCACTTCAGTACTGCACTTTCAAACAGTGAAATAAAAAAACAAAAATACAAGAAATAAAGACAGTCATTTTCAGTAGGAGACCTGAAAGAAGAAGGTGGGCTTGTTCGACCTCAGCTGGGAAGGTGACTCAAATTTTTCGGTGCTTGTCCAGGAATGACCACAGCACTACAAGTATTGATTTTTTGGGTTCCAAATGTTAGCAAGTAGGTGAATTAGCAAACATGGAATCTGAATAATGAGGATTAACTGTGTCATGTCAGATGGTACTAAACACTATGGAGAAAAGGTGGATGAGTGGGAAGAACTATCGTAGACTGGGTGGACTTGGAAGGTTTCTTGGAGGTGAGTGACATTTCAACGGGACTTCTATGAAGTTAGGGTGTTAGCCATATGACTGGAGGAGGAGCATTCCAGGAAAAGCAAAAGTCATGAGGAACAAGTGTGCTTGGCATATGTCTTAGTCTGTTTCAGCTGCTATAAAAAAACAACTTAGACTGGGTAAGTAAGAAATTTATTTTTCACAGTTCTGGAGGCCAGGGAGACCAAGATCAAGGCACCAGCAGATTGGGTGTCTGGTGTAGCCTCACTCTGCTTCATAGATGGCATCTCCTGCGTGCCCTCACATGGTGGAACAGGGGTGGGGCACTCCCTTCAACCTCTGATGAGGGCACTGATCCCATCTATGAGGGCAGAGCTGTCATGACCTAATCAACTCCCAAAAGGCCCCACCTCAACACTACTGCAGTGGAGATTTAGGTTTCAGTATATGAATTGCCGGGGGTGGGGAGGAAGACACATTCAGACCATAGCAGCATGACAGAGCAGGGAAGAGACTAGTGTGACTGAGCAGGGGAAGGAGAGTTGAAACATGAGTAGACAGATTGGCAGGCACCAGATCTAGTTTGGCTTCCTGGGCCGTGTTGAAGACATCTGCTGAGAATAGGAAGCCACAGGAAGGATTCGGGCAAGAGGGTAACGTCTGGTCTGGGTTTTAAAAGGATTACTGAAATGTAGAGAATGACTACAGAGATCAGAATAGGAGTCCTAGTCTATTACACTCTGCTTAGAGTTTGGGTGATGACCATGAAGGTGTTCAAAAGTAGATTACTGTTGGATTTCAAAGGTAGCTACAACAGGATGTGTTGATAGGTTGGATGGGGAGAGGATGAGTTAAAGATGAACCCCAGGGTTTTTTGCCTGAGCAAATGGGTTGCGCTGTTTACTGAGATGGGACAGACTTGGGAAGGAAAGAATTTAAAGGGGGTAAGCTAGTTCAGTTTGGGATGTAAGTGCGAGATTCCTATTAAACTTCCAAGTGGAGATAATTTACTAGAAAAATGGATCTGCAACGTTGGGAGCCCAGGAGAGGCAGACACTAGAGATACTCATTTGGGAATTATGAATACATGGATCATATTTAACATCATGATAAAGGGTGGGATCATTTAGGGAGTGACAACAGCTCTTGGGAACAAAAGGGGCAGTAGGAGGAAAAACAGATGAGTGTGGTGCTCTGAAAATCAAAGAATGCTTTTTTCTTTCCTTTAATAAGGGATGATTATTTGTCAGATGCTGCTAATGAGAAAAGTAATACGGGAATCGACGATTGGCTTTGGCAGTAGGGAAGTCCTTGATAAGTCAATGGACAGGTCAGTAGAGCTGGGAGAACAAGTGTGAGTGAGCTGCAGAGGGGATGGTGAGGAAGCGGAGCTGTGGACCCACTCTTTGGAAACGTTTTCTGGTGCCTGGTGAGGGAATGAGAGGTTAAGGTTTTTGTTATTGTTTAAGATGAGAGAGGTCATAGTACGTTTATGTGTGGACCTGAATGTTCCACGGAGAGAAAAGAATGGATGTTGTAGATGAGAGAAGGGGCAGTTGTAGGAGCAAATTTCTCCAGGGACAGGATCCAGTGTGTAAGAGGAGGAGGGTGTGACCTTAAGAGCTAGAAGAATTCATCATTTTAATACGAGGGAAGACAAAGTGCATAGATACAGATGTTAGATTTGGTGATAGAATGAGAAAGGTCTCTTCTGAGTATTTTCTCAGGAAATTAGTAAGATCATCAGCAGAGGATGTGAGGGGAGGAGGAGTTGAAGACTGAGCAAAAGAGGGGTGAAATATTGGTCTTGGGGCGTGGAGAGCTAATGGAACAGGGACATGCAGTGGGCTTGCTAGGCTGTGCTGATAGCCTGCCAGAGGCTTATGGTCATAAATGTTACCAAGATCGGCTAAGATGGTGGTTTATTTTCTCCAATCATGTTTAGTTGCTCAGTAAGTGGGAAGTTGGATTCAGCCAAAGTAAAGGAATTGTCAGGCAAACAGGACAGAGATAAGAGGAGAAAAGGAATTATAGCTTTCTGCAAGGGTAATGATTATAGGGATGGATAAGGAGGGAGGGAAGTAGGGACATAAGACAAGTGATGGGTAGTCTGTTAAAAAGTGTTGGCAGTGTTTGTTTTGGTGTGTGGCCTTTCCTCCCTCCCCCACCAGCCTTGCCCCTTGGGGAGCAGCTGGGGTGGGGTCCCTGGGCCTTCCCCCCTCCCCTCTTTCTTTCTGTTGGTTGTCACTCCAGGTGGCTGCATTGGTTTTAATGTTGCACTGAAGGTTTTTTAAATAAAATTTTTTTAAAAAAGGGGGAAAAAAAAGTGGTGGCAGGCAAGGCATGGTGGCTCACACCTGTAATCCCAGCACTCTGAGAGGCCAAGATGGGAAGATTGCTTGAGCCCAGGAGTGTGAGGCTGCAGTGAGCTGTGATCATGCCGCTGCACTCCAGCCTGGGCCAGACCCCATCTCTTAAAAAAAAAAAAAGTGGGGGCAGATCTCAAGGGATCAGAGGAGGGCTCAAAGAATGCCAGAATGGACTTCTGG